TCGTGCATACTAAGCTCCGCAGACGTGCTCTGTGCTCAAGTCCGAGGAACCGAAACGAGTCGAAGATGGCGATTGCAGAGGAAGCGAGCAGTGCCTACCAGGACCATTCCTCGCACTGAAATTAAAAATGTCAACATGAGGAGTAACAATGATACTGACGGCAACCACCAGATACTCGTAGTAAGACTGACATGAGAGAGACAGAGAGCGAGCGAGAGAGANNGCGCGCGGGCGAGGGGCAACCCTCGTCTGTAGCCCTGGCGAAAGAAAGAAAGAGAGAGAGAGAGAGAGAGAGAGAGAGAGAGAGGTGAGGGTCGGGGGTGGGGTGTTACAGGCAGGCAGGTAGGCAAGAGGCAGTGTCGTGCAAAGGTTCGGTTTGGTTGGGGATGCAGGTGGGGCAGGCTTTCAGGATGGTTTAAAGGTGTAGCAAGGTAGAACCCTCTTGTAGTCTCACGCGGACCTGAGCGCTGGACGCGGGACAACCTGAGCGCATATGGGTGGGGGTGCTTCGGCACCTTATTTCGGCAGCAAGCCAGCAAGAGAGAAATACAGGGAGCGAGGCAGGGAGACGGCCCCATACCCCCAGCAGGCAGGCCTGCCTGCGGCAGGAAAGCAAGCAAGCAAGGGAGACGCAGGATTGAGCCCAAGCGCCAAGCAAGCAAGGAAGAGGGAGAGGGAGATGGAAAGGGAGAGAAGAGAGGGAGAGAGAGAGACAGAAAGAAAGAGCCATAGGGAGCCGCCATGGCTTTCAAGTCGGAGCATGTGACAGCTTGAGCGTGATATCAACTTCCATGCACAGCAGTTGGTGTCGCGGCAAATCACCCCACAAATTCGCAAGTGCTAGTCTCGCACGGAGGGTTGACCCTGGAACCTGACTCGCTGGAAGACAGGAAGGAAGTACTGTGCCAGTCCTTGTGCCATATCATGGATGGGCCGCTCGCACAAGCGGGGTGTCGGGACTGGTGCCCGTCCTGCGCAAAGCAACGACAGAGAGAGCGAGGCTTGAGGACGAAGCAAGAGAGAGAGAGAGAGAGACTTATGGCAAGGGGGGCAACCCTCTTGCCCATAGCCCTGCCGAAAGAAAGACTACGTAATGATAATGGGACAGGGCGAGCAGCAAAGTCATGTAAAGCTTTATACAGACGCCGGTGCTCTAGGATTGGCACTTTACGGCTTCCGGGATTGCGAAGTACAATTCATTGAGCAAGAAGGGTCACGAGTGAGAAACAGTTCCGACATTGTCACGACGACAGCCGTCGGATCGCTTGCTTCTTCATTCAATGTACCCAGTATGGATGTGTCGAACTTCATGTGTTTTTGCGCGATAGGTCAACCGCCGTGTACTTGCACCAGCGCATGCTGAAAGTTGCTGTGTGCGGCAATAGCATAGTCGGATTCATGCCTTTATCTTTGACATACACATTAATGACTGTGTCCGCAGTCTTCCTTGCCACTTTTTTCAAATTTCGCACGCATCAACGTGTCAGAACTGTACTGCCGATGCGAGATTCGCGAAGGCCTCGATTTGCACAGCAGTTCTCGCAACCAAGCCGACCACACATGACCACACGTGAGACGGATGAAGCTTAAGCAGCCAGCTGTCGAGTCCTCCAGGAAGGCCTCAACGAGGCGGCTGTGCTCCCTGCCGCCCACCCGGCGCCTCGGACCTGGACACCTGTCGCGTCTTCAGCTCGTACCAATCTGCCTACAGAAGCGGATTGCTCTTTGCTTTATATATTCCTTGGAAGATCTTGCATGGAATTTTGGGCATACCGGCATTTTGAGTCTAGATACCGTCTTAGATACTTGTACAAGTCATTTGTGTGTATATAACCCGCTCTCTGTCTGTATATATGTGTGTGTGTGTGGAGGTATGCACATGGGCCCATGCATTTATGTACGTATACCAAGGCCTTACATTCCTAAGTATAATCATTTTTGCTTATTCTCTGACGGGCTGAAAGGTGAGACTTGGCCTCGCCTTGAACTTCTCGGTCTTCCAGCACGAGGCCCCGGGCACCCTTGCAAAGATATTGTTGCTGCAGGTATGGGTGCGTGCGACGGTGTCGTGTAACGGATTCCCCGCTCAGGTTTACATTTGTGCCAAAGGCAGATCAGAGGGCATAGGGCTGAGGGTTTGTAGTTTTTAGGGTTTCGACGCTCCGTGATCTGTGGTTCTCTGCACGGGGCCCACGCATCACGGCCGGATGCGGCCCAAGTGATCCGATTAGTGGCGTTGCCGCAAAGATTGCTCTCCCTGCATCGTCGCTTTGGTGACTTCAAGGATGTTTTGGATTGTTTGTGCTTTGAGCACTGGCAGCAGCAATGCACTTGGCGTGAAAAGCTCCGCCTGCTACCGACCTGCGAGATGCGGCACAAGCCACAACCCATTCAGCCGTGACTTCGGCGGTAGTTGCGACTTTTCACGCCAAGTTCCCTCTGCGTCCATTGCTCCCGGGCCGCATCCGAAACGGAAACGACAACGATCATTGATTTTTTTGGGCCGAGCCCATTGAAGCACTACCACTGATTCCACAGTGAGACCTGTGTGAACAGGTGAGCACACAAGCGAGACGTTTACACGTGCAGATTTGTACAACTGGGACTGAAAAGACCAGTGGCAAATCGCAGCGTGCTGCAATGCAAACGTAGTGCTCGGACCTACCTCCAGTCACAGGCCCACCACGCCCCACAAGCAGGAGGGTAACTGAGCGATGAGTGCTGGATACAGGATCATGTGTACCGCTTCACAAAACCTCCCGCCCAACACCCGCAATTCACACCTCCAGAGGTGCTGCGACAGACGGACCGCGCCATTGAGACTGCTACCGAGGCCTCTTATTCTAGGGGTCCTCTGTTGGGAGCTTTGTTTGGTAATGGGGGTTTCAGGGTCTCGGACATCTATTTCGGTTGGGAGTTGAAGGGCTTTCCATAGCGACCCCACGGCTAGGCGTTGACCTTGGCTTCCGACTCAGTGAACGACATCCCCGAGGAGTCCCGGAACGACTCACTGCGCCTAGGATGATCTGGTTCGGCTGGCGACTGAACCTCTGTACCGTCGCTAAGCTCCAGACTGACCACTAAGCCCACGGTGCACGACATGGGCAAATGTCAAGCATTGTTCAACAGCTGCTCTAGGTGATCTCTGTCTGGGTCCTCGATAGGCCCCATAGTTCCCATCACATGTAGAGCTGGCCCAACATGATCTCGCGAACTGGATCAAAGCCTTGGTAGGCTGAAGGCTTTGCCACCGGCTCCTCGACATGTTCCGATGCAAGCACTATTTTGGCTCAACACGACTCATACCAGGCCATGTGGAGACACTCGGGGTATAGAGTACTTACGGGTAGCACGTCCTCGTTTGACGAACGTTCCGACCTACCAAGGATTACGATGCAGCTGCTGTCAGACAACCTCAACCTCTGGTCCCCGCAGTGAGGGGCCTCTGACGTACCATGGGCTCTTTGGGGATTCTCTCCCTGGGCTCTCGAGGTGATGACTTTATGCGGTCTTTATACATGGATAATTGAGTCGCGATGCTGCATTAATCTGGCACGCACCGGTACGGCTAAGAGGCCCAGTTTAGCGAGAAGACCCAGCCTTGCGTGCACCGTGAAGTGGGGAGTGGCCGTTGGAGCAGACTTCTCAAACATTTTGCTCGTGATCAAGACTTTGGAGTAGTAGCAAGCAAAGCTGCACGGGCATGATGACAGGATCTGTGTGGTCGCAATTCATTTGTCAAAAACTCTATCCAGCCGTCGTGTATGAAGTGCATGGGTATACTGCGCATACCTTGCCAGTTGTGCGGACATGTTGCTGCAACGGTGGATGGCCACTCAATGCGAGATCTAGGTGAATAAGGCCCGCACATGAAGAGGTGCAGGCTACTGCCCTAGCCTTCTTCAGGATTCCTCTGCTTTTGCCAGAAATCTCCTTATACTGTCCCAACTGTTTTCAGCCCTTGCTTCTTCAAAGGCGGTCCTTTAATGCCAATCTCTTCCATCTCCACAAGCAGAGCTTCTGAGAAGAGTACTGGAGGCTCTGATGGCATGTCAGGAATGATGAACCCAGCCTTGGCGCACGCGATCATGTAGGGTTCGGTACAGCAGCGTCAGATGCCATCAAGTGCCCTGAACATTTGCTGACTTGGTCAGCAAGGGAGCAGAGAAACCGGCTGGCTCCCAAACATATAGAGGCCAGTGATTCGGCAGAGGACCCACGCAAGAGGGGTGCAGGAGTTTTTTCAATGATGGCAGGTCTGCAGGTACTGCCCAGCACAATGTGCGGAATATTTAGGCCCTGGCCTAGGCTAAATGGACGGACGTAGAGCGTCAGCGAGATATCCCTTCTGCATGGGCGTGTGTGGAAGATAAGCTGGACGGAACTCCCGCGGTGTTGGCTTGGCCGACGAATCCTCAGCCTGCAGGGTAGACTGGATGTGGAAAGCTTATCACTTTCTGCTTCAACCTGCAGCCGTAGACTTGTGCTTAAAGCATTTGCTGAATACTGGTCAGCAAGATGCCCTGCCAATACTGGGAGAGTGCCATCATAGAAGAAGCGTCGCGTTTTGGTTCTGTGAGGAGAGCTGCGCACAGATGCCCAAAACGAGCAGGCTTCGTTTCTTGTGGGTCTATGTTTGTGAGCAGAACACGACATACTGTGAAGCAAAGAACCCTCCGCCAACATGCGTGTTAAGTTAAAGGTGCCGGGGCTAGCGCGGAAATTTTTGGCATATCAACCACTCGGAAAGGTGAGCTATGATACATATACATATATATATATATTGATATTGATTGCTTCTACATCAGGCTCGCTGGTGGATGCTCCCTCGACGTGTAAGAAGTTCTTCTTTTCCGAAGGTGCTGCCTGGATCCAACAATCCCAGACGACTATACATCTCATGAACGTGTTAACCCAGCTCGGCCACAGCACAGAGTGGTCGAAGATCATCCGTGACAACCCATCAGATGGACCCTGGCCCACTGGCTGTGGACCGCGAGGTGAACCAGGGAGACCGCCTGCAGCTCTTCCGACAGATTTTGCTTCCGGCCCGTTGGGAGGGTTGTTGGATGTTGGACTCATGCTAGATCGGTTGTCTACGAGTTGGTTCGAGGGCTTACAACAGATTTGTGTGTGGACTTTTTCCAATCCGCCCGCCGTCCTGTCGGCCTACGTAAACTCACATGTAGTGACAGAATGGGCGCACTACTACTAATTGCAGCTAGTTGGCAAATTTTCCGCTTAAAGAGCAAAGTCGAGTTTCTGTCGAGCCTAGCAATCACATGCTTGTTGGGCGACGGTGGCACCGAGAAGTGGCCAGTGGTGACAGTATCAGTGTCCTTCTTTTTGATGCCGAGTTTGTAAGAGCCACCTGCAGAGGCCGGGGACCGCATGCACGGCATTGAGGCGGGCCAGGACTATTACTTCAGCTCCTAGTGGTCGTGTAGGTGCATTTGGAGCACGGAGGCCTTGATGATGAAGGACGAGGACAGAGGCAAACTTCGCCCGGTGGAGCCTCGGCTGCAGACTGAAGCAGGCTTTCGGTGGAACCCGACCTGGCCTCCTCTAAGGACCGGCGATGTCGTAACCTTTGGGACAAGCTCATTGCCCCTCTGCTGACGTTCCGTGGCAGACATACCCTGGCCGTTGTTTCTGCACTTCGTTTGTTGCTTGGTCCCTCCGGTAGGTCGTCTGCAAACGAGGTTCAGGGTGTTCAGGTGCAGATATAGTCTTCCTTTCCTTCACTTTAGTTCGCTCTACAAACCTAAGGTTGTCGATTCTTGGGCGCCTCGAAAATCGACAGCCAGACCTGCTCAAATACCTTCTGGTGCCCTGAGCCGGGGCTTTGGGCGCAGATTAAAGGTTCGAAAGCAGCGAAATCATGAGCAAGTCAGGTGTTTGGCACTTGATGTGAAGCCAAGATACAGCTCACAAGCCTAGCTGGCCATCTATTGCAGTTGTGGAAGTGTTTGCCCTCTGCTTCGAAGGGCGTGTCCGTAACTCTGTGTAGACTCCGGCCTGTATGAAGTCTTGACACTGCATCCCACGAGCGACTAGACTAGACAGAAGTTTCCATTTTCAATACCCGCCCATCGCCAGCATTGCCTACTCGGGCAGCGGGGGATGGTCTACGGCGTGCTGGCCAGTGCGACGCCAGACGGGATGCCCAGACAAGTCGACCGCAAGAGGAGCAGAAACAGTTTGGGATTATTGCAGATCTGTCAAGATTTGCGGAATCTCATTTGCAGAGGGTCTCGGGAGTTGCAAGGATCTCCAGGCTGCACTAACAATTCGCCTGGGCTCTTGAGCTTCCAGCATGCTTTTCGGGCTCGTTGCATGCTCCCGTGCTGCCACGTACCATGATCCACAAACCATACTGTCCGCAGAGTTCCTAAACGGCGGTCAGCGAAACTGGCCACCTGTCGCTTCCCAATCGAAACCGAGGCCCCGGGCCCCCAAAAAGCGTCTCTGCGGGCAACTCTCAGAGACAGAGCTCCTTTCAGTCGAAGAGAACGGGGACGTTGCCGACCTGGGAGACCATCGCCAAGGCGCCGCGGGTTCTTTAATGCTCGCGTTTGCACTAGCCTTCCATGCAATCAGGATAGGCTGAGCGACTCGGGGTGTGGTTAGTTTTCTGACTCTCTACGGAGCCACGCTTCTGACCGATTGTTTTGTTTGACGGTCTCCACAGCACGAATTTGGGTTTTGAGTACTTGGCTGTTGACCGCTGATGGCGAGACGTCTTCTTTCGGAGTCGTTGTGGAGGTGGTAGTGGTGGTCGCAGTAGCACCATGGCAGCAGCAGAAGTGCTGCTAGCGGCTCGTGCTACTACTAGTAGTGGTGGGTTGTTGTATTGTCATGTCCCCTTTTCCATGCAACGTCTTGGTGCAGAGGTCATCACGGAGAGCGACACTTTGGAGTCTCGGGTGGAGGCAGGGCGCGGCGGCGTCGATGTCACAGAAGACGCGTGTGCATGTCGGAGAGCGAGCCGTGTTGCGGGGCTTTGTCAGCACTAAGTGTGTCTTGGAGCAGGTTGTGTTCCGACCTTTCATTGTTTGCATCGCGTTTGCAACTCTTCTTTTGCATCACCTGGTAAGCAAACGACACCCAGTTGGTAGCTTATTCACAAATGAACGGGAGTGCCCGGTGCTCCGACTCACATGTGGCATCAAGGACCCTGGACATTCTGAATTTTGCCCCTGGATTTCCTGTAGGCGCTGCGAAGCCTGGGGTTTCGCGGGCCAAAGCCGCGCAAGTCTTGCTGGTCAGGTTCGGTGCCTGGCTCCCAGATGCATGTCCCCGAGTCTAATATCCGAGGCGTGCTTAAGCTGGTGACTAGCTCAGATAGACATGTCAGATGCCACGGGAATCTAACTGCTTGGATGGTCAGCATGCCTGTGCCAGAGTTGACTGGGGCAGGAAATTAAATTCCGGACCCCTAAAGCTAGATGACAGCAGTGTCCAAGCAGGCAAATTGCATGTTATGAGCTTCCTCGGAGTAATTCAATAACATGCTCCTCGTGCCTGAACCATGCTGCAATAGGACATGCCGACGCCTTGCCCAGGTGGGTGCGGGATGAATATCCGCGAAATCCGGACTCAGCACCATGGGAGGCTGTGGGGAACAGGGGGTGTTCTTGCAAGAGCGGTTTGTGTAAAACGCTGACGGACATGCATTGCCTTTCGATTCAAGCACTGCGCCAGGGCTTCCAATACGTGGACCGGGAGGACGCAGACGTACTGGGGCAGGGGGCCTGGCGTGCTGGAACCGGAGACCCAGCGGGCCTTTGAGGGCTGCAGGGCCTCAGGCTGGCCCCCATCTCGAGCACCGTCGGTTTATCCCTCGAATTACGATCATGCTCAGATTGCGGCATGGTCCCCAGGTCATGTCAGGTTGGGATTCGGTCAAGCTTGTCAGCTCGCGAAAATCAGGCCAGTGTCAGGCCAATTGTCTTGTTGATGTTGTTTTGTCCAGGGGATTTGTTGATATATTCCGGCTCCACAGCCAATCTCGTTCGCGTGGCGGCTCTGCAGCTGATGGGTTTTTTCGGCTCGAAATATTTCCATTTGTGGATACGGCAAGTTTGTTCGGTTGCCCATCCTCAGCCGGCCTCCCCCCAGTATTCAGATTCAGATGCGATAGATCAATTAAACTTGCCGTTCAGGCTGAAAGGTGATAGGATGTGCCACCCTTCCGCTAAGGCAAGGCCCGCCGGGAATGAAGCACGAGGCCTTCAGAGACTTGGCATCATGGCACATGAATGACTATTGCTCGCGTCAGGTTGATGACCAACTGTATTGAGTTGTTCGGAGGTGGTGCGTAGCACTCACATAAAGTGGCCAGTTTCAGGCATTGAAAGACTAAGACGGGCTCCTCAACTGTTTGTTTGTAGCAGATGCTGGATGTCGGCTTGGAATCTTGCCCATGCATGTTGAGTTCGTTGTATTTGCCCTCACGCGGATGCACGGCGGTTCCGTGGATCCCCGGTCTCCGGGGATACCACATGAATGACTCTCCTGCCACCGTCCCGCCTGCTCAGTTTTGCCTTCATATCGCTTAATGTCAAGGCCACACTATTGACTATGCGCCTCCTTGGTGTCGAAATTCTTTGTGCTCATGCCGCAGTGCCGTGCATGTTTACGACTCGTGTTTTTGCGCACCACGACCAGACCTCTACCAACGGCAACAACGGCACCTACTTCAGCAACCGTACAGCACCACACCATAAACCCTACCACCAGCAACTGAAATAATAACCAGAAACTCAACAGCGCCAACACTATTCGCCAACACTATTAACATTATTAGCAGCAACGAAACAAGAGACGCCGAGGACCTCGACAATGACACAAAGCACAACAAGATCATGGCCAGCGAGCAAGGAACACCAACGGCAGCAACAACGATGCCGAGATGAGAAAGACCACGACAGCCATTGCAACAGCAACTGCGACGGCAAACGACAGCAGCAGCGGCAGCAGCAATTTGCTCCGAGGAAGGGCTGGATAAGGCTAGTAAGCCGCCAGTATGCAGCAGAAAAGAACAAGAGCTCCGAACTCCCGCCGGCCTCCAGAACTCAGCACCCCCTGTCCTCCATATCAAGACCAAGTCCTGGAGCTCCTAGGAATGAATCGAATGTGGTGCTTGGAGCGGTCTGAGCAATTCGATGAAAAGGCCGACTTGTGAATCTTGGGAACTCCTGCCGTTCCAGTGTTCCAAGATACGGCTCAATGCGTCTCTTCAGTGTCTCATCCTTCACATTTCTGTTGGTTTGCTCCTGATGGGCATGCTAAAACGCATGTCGACTGAAAAGCAGATATAGGTCGAGGTACAATGATAAGCAAAGGCCGGGAAGCTTCGAAAGCAGAGGCGGGTGGGTAGGAATGTGGATAGATCGGATTGATGTCAAAAGGGGTTTGTTCTTTATGGCCTTCTTGCTGTCCTTCGGGCACTGCGGCTTCTTTTCGGGAAATCCTCTTGGATCTAGCAATGAACAGTATGCCTTTCTCGACCGGATTGCATGCAGCAAGGCTCAGAGACACGGGCATAGTTGCAAGCTTCATCTCATAAGGCACAGGTCGTCACAACTTCGACTTCTCATCCAACATCCGTCTTGTGTTTCTCAGCACTGTTCGCTGATGTAAAACCTCTCTCTGTGATTGAACGTCTTGAAGACCACACTTCCCGCTGTCTTCAAATCGCACGCCAGGAGCAGGATTGGGAATCGGGCTTCAACAAGAGGGCAGATGCCTTCATTTGGGAGGAACGGACCTGCGAGCACGATTGCGGTACTGCAAGGCATGAAGGCCGCTCAATTTATAGCGAGCATGTGCCCCGGCACCCTGCACCCGAGTCTGCCAGAGAGAGCCCAGGAGCCCAAGCCTGCAAGCATCCCCGGAACATGACTTAATCAGACTCCTGCATAGTACACCGGCAATCAGTTCGTTTTCGCATCAAGTTGTGAAGGAGTCTCCCGGATTCAAGTGGTCTGGTGGAGCTGAGAAGCCCATCACGCCCAGTATTTACGACAAGCCGGGTGCTCGGCAAACACTACATGCCGCAGGCGGACTATGTGCAGAATTTTCAGGCTGAGCACCGCTAGATTCCGCTAGATGCTGGAGAGGATACTCACTTCGCAATCGACAACCACAGATATCCAACAGTTCAACTGTGAATGTTGCTGTTTGTGATGAATGCAGTTTCGAGGATTCAGTTGTCCAACCGGCTTTTCATCAACGAGGCATCGGAAGCATGCGCAGTTTGCCGGGGCTTCCACGGTCGGCTTGTTTGGGAGGCTCTGGCCGAGAGAGTTTTGATGGCCGATCGAGTGAAGCTCGTCGGTGAGAAGCTGCTTTGCTGTTGGCCCAGCTGACGGTTTCCACAGCATATTGGACGGACCTACGAATACCATCAGAGTCTACTTCCCCATTTCCAAAGCCAGTTTCTGCTTCGGAAAGAATGGAATGGCACAAATCTAGGATGCATGGTTGAAGTTCACGGCGACAGTTTGGAAATCCAGGAAGTGTAGGTCACCCCCTTGACTATGCACTTCTGCTACACTACACGCCACACCCTCCACTCCAGTCATCTTTAGGGAAGCTGACTGCAGCCAGTGCCCAGAATCCAGATCTTCCACTCCAAACTGCTGAGAGCCTGGTCCGTCTGCACACGGCTCAAGTCTATGTCTTCAGGCCCTCTGTTGATCTTCTCAGCGGAGAGTTTGAAGAAGCCCAGCATCGGGGCCTGGATTATCGGCTCGGACTTGGAGGCATTGAGCAGTGATCCTCTCCGAGCTCTTGATTACCAGCAGGTATGCACGATTACTGGATACTACATGGCACAAGAGAGCACATCGTGTCTGCAGCTGACGCAACTTTATGACGGCTTGATCTCACGCTTCAGAGCAACATGCAAAGTCATGCAACTCCAGTAGAGGCGATCGAGTGCTTTCATCTTTCGTGATGCTTCGGCTCCGTGAAACAAGTACCCAGCCGCCGAAACATGCTGAAGACAAGCCAGGAGCTCGAGCAGGCCGAAAAGCTGGCACTGAAAAGGGAGACTTGGCTTCAGCTGCTCAGGGTGTGATGGTCAGTGTCATTCAGGGCAGCTGCTTACAAGGACCGCTTTGCTTGCTCGAGAGTATTGCAGCGAATCGGGGCTAATTTCCCTCTGCCATGAATTGATCTGTTGAGGCAGAATTCTCAAAGACTGCATACCGTCCGGACACGCGCTGCACAATCTTGTGAAACAGGTTCCCAAAGCGAAGGCTGCGTCATTCTTCCGTCTCAGACATGTGGGGACGTTTCCGTTGGGACTTGTTTCAGAGGTGTGAAACTGAAGCTGTAGGGTCATCAATCTTCCAACGCGCCGCTTGAGTCCGCAGCGTCTCGAACCGAGGATCTGCTGCGCTACGTGGCTGCGCAGGCTTGGGGCACCAGTAGCCTTCGGCGAGCACACATCGCTCCCGAAACTGTGACTGAAAAACCGCAGCCGCCATGGACGTTTATGCAGCCGTTGACAGTGTTTATTTTTTTTTGTGAAGGCTTTCGTCGCGATGCGCTTGTTGCCGTCTGCTTCGCAACTTCAACGTCACAGTTGCCAAATTGGCCAGATCGTCCACGACTCTAGTTCTCCCCTCCACAAGGCAGCGCTAAGATAACATGAAGGAATAACGCCAGTGAAGAAATCTGAGACAGTTTGTTCTCGGCTTCGCGGACACGGTAATCTGCGAATTCAATGTGCCGAACCACGTCGCCTTGGAGAAGCATTTGGAGTACTCTGAAGGAGTATGTGCTCATAACCCAATGGTACCCCAAAATCGTGAGATTTGACACCGTGATGGCTTGCCTCAGATATCATCATCGGCGGAAGCACTTTCTCAGACGGCGACTGGCAAGAAGGCCAGTCCTCGGGGCTTGAGGCTTTCCTTTTTACAGAAATGCCTTCACTCTCCGCAAAACTCGGCCGGGCCACGGGAATGAATCCCCCAGATCCGAGTCGGTCTCGCAGAGGCCGCCAGCAGCAAGGAGGGACCGGCCTGGCAGGTGCCTTTCCAGAAGGCGCACGCGGAGCACATACAGCGGAAATCCACTGGTTCTTTTTTACCTTTTTTGCGCAGGTCTTCGACGAGACGAAAGAGAAGCTCGCCCTCGCTCTCATGCAGAAGGCCCCAGAAGGCGCCAGCTGCTGCTCAGATGTAACTCTCTACTGTACAACAACAGCAACAGCAACATGTAGCCGCAAGAAACCGGTTCCTTTTGCAACGCCTTGTGGTTGCCGACTGCGACGTCAGTTTTCAGTGTCGAGTCCTGTCAGTCCTAAGCCCACAAAGCCGTAAAGCTGTACAAGTTTTGCTTCAGTCAAGGTCTCTACAGTGACTGTCAGGACCCGGAACGCAGACTGCAGGACCGTCCTGATCCCTTCTTCGCCTTGACTCCCGAAACGACCGAAAGCATCAATCCTCGGAGCCCGCATAGCTTTAACCCCAACTTGCGCCCAGAGCTGGAGACATTGACGGAGGAGGCGGAGGAGCTCCGATGGGAGCCAGGTCCAGAGTTGGGACCCTGGTGCCGACGGGAAAAAGAGGGGGGGGGGGGAGGGGGCGAGAATCAGGAAAGCACAGGACTGCCTTGGCTTGGGGCCTTGCCAGTTAGTATTGCGTCTATGTGAATGACACGCACTAGTGTCCGATCGACCGCACTCAATCTCATTCCATGTAGTATGAAGCTGAAGCGCAAGCGACTCTAAAAAAGTAGGTTGTGGTAGACTGGTAGACATTTGTGGTTGCAACTCTTCGGGTTGAGGGTCGTTGACGGTCTAGGCTTCAGGCCTCGAGGGAGTATGTTCTTATCTAGGGGGCTTGAGGGCTTGTTGGCTACGGTGGTCAGGGCTCAGGGCTTTTCATACAGGTGTCATACACAGAGAGGAAGAAAGAACCTTTTCAACTGGTATGACTAGCATCAGCATGGCTGTTATACACAATGGCTTACCGCGTTCGGGGCTTGTTCTGGTGGTATCTGCTTGCTCGAAGTATGTGTTTCATAGATGCACCTGGGTCTCTGACGGTGCTACAAGTCGGGGTATCTTGTTCGTGAAGGCCTGTTGGGCTGGGTGTAAAGACTTGCGGCGAATTCGGCTTGAAGGTGAGTTTGGGGTTCACTACGGAGGCATCAATCAAAATCTGCCAAGTCGCACCGAAAAACTTGAAGGCTGACTGCACTGAACTTGCCAAGAAGCACGCACCCCTGACAGATCCTGACTGTGCACATGACAGAAATGGCTACTTACGCGTAACGGATGCTGTGCCAAGCATGTCCCATTGGTGGTGTGCCAAGGACTTTCTCTGCCCCGGAAGCCTCAAAACTCGGTGGGGGGAGCTCTCAGGGTGCGACGTGGTCGTCTTGGGCTCGAGGCCAACGAAGCACCCGAGGACCAGGCCAGGTGCCGAGACTCCTGGAAGCAATCGCTGAAGGCAGTGAAGTTCTAAAAAGGCGAGGGCTGAAAGATGGAGTTGAGTTTTGAGTTCAGAAAACAGCTACAAGGCCGAGCTGCTGCCAGAAGATGAGATCCGATGGTTTAAGCGCAGGCATCGCCTCTCGCTCAGCCATTTGAGACTTTCTGAGACAAGAACAATAGGTCTAGATGTTGCCGAATGCGATCATGTCTCGCCATGAGCAGCTACCAGTGGCTCTTGCACATGTTTACTGACAGCCTGCTGTCGCATGTTCCGTATTGAGTTCAAGACGACCTAGAAGTCGTATTGCTGGAGTGGACCCACATACAAAATCTTCCGCTCCCATACCTTCCTGCCAGGCAGTCGACGCAGGCCCGGAGACTTCGATCAGAGCTGAGGAATCGTAGAGGGTTCTGTCCGACTTTAGGAACGTTTTCACTTGAAAGGCCTTCTCTCGTGGAACAGGGCTGCTGTGCCACTGGCTGGGTATTCGTGAGATCGAGAGCCGAAGTACCGGGGAGTGCCGCAGGAGTTCTGCACTTGTTGCAAAAGTTGCTGCTGCAATGATCATATTCCGGTGTGCTGATCATCTCCCATATGGCTGAAGAAGCAAGTTGTTCTCTGGCGACAGGCCTACCTCCAGCTCCGGCTGTGCAGTGCCATTGGCTGCGCCAAGGCCCAGGGTTGTTGCTTTGCGATTCTAGGTAGCAATGTTAGAGCCTGGGGCCTTTGGCATGGGCGCTTGTGAGAGAGTCAATCCGGCTAGCCGTGCGCATGCATCACGTCGGGTGCATGCTCTGTTGAATCGTGGGCCAACGAGTTTGCGAGCGGCAGGACCTTATCTCCATGGCGGCGGCAGTGAGCCGGGAGGTCTCCAGCAGGCATCTCCAGACATCTCGTGTGGGGTTCGCACACGCAGAAAAAAACAAAACTAGTACCGAAGCAGAACCTTTGAGCTGCGGTGGATGACTGACACACTCAAACTGGGTTCGAACAAATAGTTTATGGCCAGAACAGTCGCACCAGAAAGCCATGCGATGGTACTGCAACATGCCTGCGACACGAAGCATCAGGTATCAAAACATTTTGGACATCGGCTCCAAATTTCAACAGCGGGCAGTTCCATAATTCCCTGATTACCAGGGCAGCCAACAATGGAATCTCGGGTTTCGCAATTGTCCGTTGCACACTTAGCAAAGTCTCAGTGTTTCAGAAATTTATAACAACAATATGTTATCTGCCTGAGATTTCACAAACTCTCTCTCGGCCGGTTCGAGGATGTCGCATGTCTTGAGAGACCTTCCAAGCATTATGCTTTGGACAAATGCTTGGGGCATGTTAAGATTTCTTGGAGATCTTAGAGCTTGCGCAAGATCCCACAAATATGAAGCTGGAAATGATTGAACTTGTGAGGTTTAGGAGGTGGTGACCGCACTGATGCATGTGCGCATCTTGTTGTAGGACTGCCCACATGAATGCATGTTTGAGGCCATGCAGTGGGCGTTTGGTCTGGTTTGACATCCAAGTCGGGAAGAGATATGTAAGTTGTCGCCTATCCACTCCCAATTAAGCTTGTGGTATCGCAGCTGAATCCGACACGACAAGCACACTCCACAGCAGGAACTTTGCCCCCGGCTTCTGGATCGCTTCGTACGGCCTCTTGTTGTGGGGCCGTGCACGGCAGCTGCGATCGGGCTTGGCAGGGGCCTCGTGCTTGGGACATCACGCTGCACTTCTGGGCACAAATACTGGTCCCCTGCTTAGGACTTTCTCTTCTTGTGGAGCTTGACACAGAAGTTAAACGGTCCCAAAATGAGACACTAGGAAGGTCGTCCAACCCGTGCTCGGAGACTTTCCAGTTTGGGGCTACAGAGTTTATGAAAGCTATGAGCAGGCGCTAACCTGCTACTACTACTCCTGCTGCTGCTGCTGCTGCTACGACTACTACTGCCACTGCTGCTACTACTACTACTACCACCACCACTACCACTACCACTACCACTACCACTACCACTGACCACTGACCACTACCACCACCACGACCACCACCACCACCACCACCACCACCACCACCACCACCACCAGAGTGATTGCGCCAAAAGCCAGCAAGACGCACCGGAATCACCCCACCCCATGGTAGGAGTCAGCAGTGGCCTTTCTAGCATTTCTGGCATGGAGGCTAGGCCGGAGCTCGCACCCTATCCTGTAGGAGCTCGCACTTCGCAAGCGTCTCATACGTGCGAAGTGGCCTTACGAGGCCTCCGCTGCTTTCATGTATTACGCAGTCATTTCCTGCACGAGCTGCTGCAGTTGCTCATTCCTCCAGAGCCAAGATGTTTGCAGCGGGGTGAGCTTATAATATAGATATGTACAAATTATAGGGTATTGCCCGCAACGCTTGCAGACAACAAGTAGCCGGGTGAGTAGAAGCAAGGAGCCGCTGGACATCCTATAGACATTTTATGTAGTGCCGACCCTCCGGAGTCGCAGGATGCAGAGGAGTCAGAGTCAGAGACAGAGGACGACTTGGGAACTGAAGAGGAGGACGTCTGTCCTGACCACTGGCTTTGAACATTTCAGGTCTTGCTGAAATTAATCAATCTTGGGATTAGCGACCTAGCCCATGACATAACTAAGGTCAACTTCACGAGGCAAAACCAGACGTTCCAGCAGCTTAAGTTGTTCAACCAGTTTATCCGTATCGGTTGAATGTGAAATATGTGAATGAGGGTGTTCGTGCCACGAGCCTTTCCTGTGTCAGGGGAGGTATCCTCGGATTGGCTGTATCTGCAGATGCCAACTGAGATTAGCTTAGCGTTTTGGCTCTGAGCTTCCGGTGCGTATGCCTGGCGAACTTGCGAACCAGACTACCTTGAGCAGTTACGCAAGTCTGCTCGCGACTTGTGAAGGCACATGTTGGTCAGCTATTACCAGACAGAGACTGTACAACATCCCGACTGCTAGCAACTGGGCATTCAAGGAGCCGGATGTCTGATAGCAGCCAGAACAATCATTGCAACGGCCTTGAGCCCCCCAATACAACCAACATAGCAAGGAACAGAGACAGCCAAGACAGTTCGTGCCCCTGTCTCAGACTAGTCCTCAACCAGCAAGTAACCTTAGCCAACAACAGCACTGAGAGTCATGGCGGGAGAGACTACGTCTCCTCCTGGAGCACCCTTGGTGCCCACGACACTCGGCTTCGGGCCTTCGCTTTTCGACAGAGAGGTTTGCCTCTCATTTTCCGAGAACATTTCATGTCACCGACACAACCGTAAAAGCAAGCTCATTCGTGCGATAGAAAACAAGAAGCAAAAGCAGGAGGAGACTATATATACTTGCAACACTGACATTGCAGAGCTGCTTGGATTCGTTGGATTGACAACTTGCAGCATTTTCAAGTTGTTGGTTCTCGGGTGTCATCCGATAGCAATCCATGAAGTTCATGTACATAGCTTCCCCCCTTGATGCCCAAGCCCTTTCGGATTGCTTTACCGACCTCTGTCTTCTGGGGTGAGGCAGGCTGTTGAGTCGTTTCCGTTTCAAGCCTAGCTGTAATAAATCTAGCGCCGACACTCCGACAGTCCCGAACTTGAGTCCAGCATGAGGGTTCTCGCTGCTGAGGAGAGTGCCTCCGGAGCAATGGAAGATGAAAACCGGAGCAGAGGTGAGCAGGGGACGGTTTAGGTCATCAGCTCGGTTTTGCTTGGTTTGATAAGCCGTGGCCTGCCAGTTGGATGGTGTTGGAGGTAGGTAGGTAGGTAGGTAGGTAGGCAGGCAGGTAGGTAGGTAGGTAGGTAGTTTTGTATGCATGCTTGTATGTATGTATGTATGTATGTATGTATGTATGGACGATACATTGGTAAGGGGCAAGAGAGAGTGAGAGAGAGAGAGAGAGAGAGATAGATGAGGGTTGGGGACGGACCTACCCCAGCTCTCCCCACCTGGTAGAGAGAGAGAGAGAGAGATAGGTAGGTAGGTAGGTAGATAGACAGATAGATAGATAGGTGCATGGATAGATAGATAGACAGGTCGATTGATGATAGACAGACGGATACTTGTAAGAAGATAGATAAATCGATAGATAGATCTATAGTTCTCGATAGATCGACAGACAGATAGCTAGGTAGGCAGCGAGGCAGGTAGGTGGGTAGGTCGGTAGGTAGGAAGGTAGGTTGGTAGGAATGTAAGTCCATATAGGTAGGTAGAAAGGTAGACGGGTAGATATGTAGAGAGGTAAGCAGATGGTTGTTTACAAATACATGTAGTATACATATCCGGTCTTGGGATCGTGTAACTATTTCCTTTGTATGTGCGTGAGTGAGTGTGTGCGTGTGTGTGTGTGTGTCTCACATAGTGTCGTCATCGTTTCTTTCTACGTAAGCCCTTATGCTGAGATTGGAACAAGGTACTGTAGGTGGCTGCAGAGGGGGGACTGGCCGGCGGTCCTACGTTCCCGCTCTGAGGTCGCGGTAGCTCCGGCAGTGGTACTGTCCTGCTAATCCCTGCAATCCCAACCTCTGATCACCAAAACCTAAGCTAGACGGGGAGTCCGAGTTGCGAGAGCTATTCGGTGACTAACTGCAGAAGCGGGGCAGAAGGTGTGCGGAGAGAGCTAAGCAGAAAGACGGCGGTCGACCTCCCTTCTCTGCGAAGGCCGTGAGCTCACTGCCTCAGATCCTTTGGAGCACTCCAGGACTAGCAGAACATATCGACGCCCGCAAATTATGTTCAAGGAAGAAGAATCCTAGCAACGAATGGTCGAGACTGCAAATCGCCCCTAAACCCGCGAACTTTTCGGGCAGGCACTTCGTGCTGGGCTTCCACCCCGAGTAAGCAATGGACCGTCCACAAAAATGAAAACCGTGGTTTGAAGCATAGGCCATGTTGAAGAAAGCCCTGAAACCAACTTTGTACTGAATCTCTGCCTGGCATTTCCGAGTGTGATGGCGGAACCACAGAGTGGAAGCCCAAGGGCATCA